GATGTAGCATGTTCACTAAAAAAGCAACCGCAGGTGCCTGTGACTTCACTTCCACAACAAGGTTAGCCACCTAAAGTGCTCTCATTTAAGGCAAATACCATTGCATCTGATCCCCTTTACAAGTCTCAATCACCTAATGATTTTCATTAGCCTAGTCAGGACTGAAATCCAGATCAACTGTTGTTCAATTAAAGATCTCCTCTTCCCTCCTGACACCATCTGTCTGAAACCACTGTCCCCCACAACACACATACACACACACACACACACACACACACACACACACACACACACACACACTTGCACACACCCCACTGAATCACAGTGATGACACATTTAGCTTGGTAATATCCTCTAACTACTCTGACCAATTAATTGCTCATCTACTTTTGAGGGTTTCGTTCGTAGACTTGGAAGAGTGATTCAGTTGTACATTGCAAATATTTAGAAAGTTTGAAAGTATCAAATTGTACAAATGATTTCTACAAAAATCTGTTTTCCACAGATTTGCTGACTTCTAATAAATGTACCCAGGTTACTATCCTTTTATTTGGGCACGTTTTGTTAAACAGAACTCTCCCATCCCTCAAATTAAGTGGCCATAGCCACTATCATTTCAATTCACTATCATTTACATTCTTCCCCAACCTACTAAAAAAACCTGGAGCAAACTCCATTAAAAAAAAAATTGTTTACTCAAAATAGTAGTGAAATAATAGTTTTGATAAGTAATCAGTTCAAAATCCTCTAATCCCTTTAAAAATATTTTAACTTTCTTAAAGAAAATATATTGTACTTTGAATCATTATGTATAGAAGATTTTGTACAAATATTACTAATCTTTCCTCATCTATTGAATGAGGAGGAAAGATTGAAAGATTAGTAATATTTTTTCAACACAGTAAAACACACTTAACACCATTTCTACTGGCCATCTTACCAGCTATAGCAACAAGGAAACATTATTTTTATTATTGAAAAATCACAATTTGTCTAATGTACTATATATTACCAATTACCTTTTAGAATGAGTGTTTAGGTGGTCAGCTAGTATTTGTATAAATTAAGACCTTACAATTTAAAATCAATATGTATTTGGTGAACTGAAAAAAATCAAGCAATACATAAAACTTATTTTGATATGTAGACTTCATTGGTTTTATTATTTAACAAAATAATGTTAAAAATCCAATGAACAGACTTTTAAAAAGATAAACTCAAATTTTAAAACTACATCATTAAATTACCAACTAATTTTTTCTCCATTGCTTCTGTTTGAACTCTAATATTTATCTCTTAGAGATCACAAAAATGTGTATTTTCTAGAACTATATGAAAACAACCTTTTTTAAATGGGAAACTAAATGTCCAACTCCAAAACCAAAAAAAAAAAAAAAAATCTTAAAGTTTGATATTGTGCATTTTGTATTAATGTATTCTATCCACACATGAAATCTATACAATTAAATCCAAGTATTAATTTCTTATTCAACAAATTCTTGAAATAAGCTACCATATGATTTTAACCTAATAAAGTCTTTTCTGTTTCTAGAAAATTAAAAATTGATGCAGCAAAAGCCTTTGTTGTAGGAAGACTTGAGGTTGGGTGGTTGTTTTTTTTTTTTTTTTTTTTTGGTATTTAATTCAACTATACACAATGTAGTACATACAAGCAAAATACAATTGAGATACTGTTTTCTTTAACATTCCTATAGGAGACCAAATTCATTTGCATGGGAGAGAACACAATTACTGATTTTTAACTCATGAAAGACAAATTCATAGCTTTTTCCTACACTACCTCATAGTATTCACACCATCTCAGTGGAAGCATGTCTAGAATTACTTAGTAACTTCCTACAAGTGGGCAGAAATTGCATTTTTCAAAGTTTTGTTTCTCACAGAATCATTCAACTTTAGATACAAAAGCACATTCAAGTTAGTGTATGTCTTAGCTCAAAACAATTTATGCAATATATGTTTGTGTGTGTATATGACTTTTTTTTTTTAAAGTAAACTTTCATCAACACCAAAAATGAAATTTCTCTCAAGGAAGTTTCCACAACTTTGAACAGTATTTTAATAGATACCAGTTTTTTCCTCTTTAATAAATCTTTAAGCCATAATATACTACCAAAATATGAATAGAGGAAAAAAAGATGCATTCAAGAGAGACTGAAACCAACTTAGGAAATAAGAGAAATAGATGCTCTGTGTGTGGTTTACATTATAATAATTTGCATTTAAGAAGAAAGAAACACATATGGCCAAAAAAACAATTTCTGAGTGACTGAGAAAATAACAGTATCTAGTCTACTGTGTAACAGCACATGTAAAATGATGTTGGAAAGACATTTAACAAAAGACCCAACTGGTAAACAAATAACATGCCAATAATTTCATACATTAAGATAGAAAAATCTCCTTCCAAATTATCATTAGTCTGGCTGGGGCTGCAGCTCAGTGGCAGAGTGCTTGCCTGGCATGCATGGGGCACTGGGTTCAATCCTCAGCATCATATAAAAATAAACAAATAAAATAAAGGCATTCTGTCTATTTAAAAAACAAAACAAATTATCATTAGTCATAAAAAATATCTATTTAGCATGCAGATATTAAAATTTCTTTTTGGAGAAATCAAAGAAATAACTACAATATACAGAAAATTAGCACTCAATTGTTGAATCATTTTTTAAGTAAGCAAGCAGTGAAGATGAATTGTTTTCTTCACATTTTCACTTCAACTAACACAAAAACCACATATAGAACTGAACTAGCGCTCACAAATTTACTTTTAACTTGTTAATTTTCATTAAAAATGCAACAAAAGAACACCAAAATAGTCACCATATAACATGAAAGCTTTGGTTTCAAATGTCACAGTACCCTGGTTTTTGAAAGCCACCAGCGTGGTAGTGCCCAGTACTACACGATAACACACAGCTGCCTCATCCCAGGAGTCTGAACTCAGTTTACACCACCAGTTAAAGCTCTCTCTCCCTTAGCCTACAGTCCATGTAGCTAATTTCTACATTTTAAGCCAATAAAGGAAAGGAAAATGTATTAAAGACATCCAATCAGAAATGAAGCAAACTCCTCTATAACAGCAGCTTATGCATACATTTGGTATGTTAAACATCCTCAAGTGTAGTGAATCATATACAGCACATTTTAATCTACCTCCTGGATATTTCATATCACTAGCATATTCAGAGAAATTATGGACTAATAGGGCTGGATAAGTTCTAGAGTGTTCTTTTTAATTTATGCAAAAAACTTGGAATATACTTCTGAATTTTAACTCATACAAACAGAACAAAAATATTTAAATGACATTCCAACTAACAGTAAATAATCTATGAATTTCAAAAAAAAACTATAAAGTAGTATGCTTGTTAAGTTTTAGATGATAATGACTTTAAATAAACTAGTATTTCACTTATATTGCTAAATTAAGTGACATATATTACAACATAAAATGAGWCACCAACTAACTGAAGTTAAAATTATAATGATTTTTACTAATTATAACCCCCAAAAGGATTCACAACAGCTAAGCAGCCAACAGGCATTTATAGAAACATAGTGCTAACATCTTGGGAATTCTTTCAAACACTGTTCAATATATTCATCAAGTTTTAAAGTGCTGTGGGATAAGTTATTTAAATTTACAATAAATACTTAGTATACCAATCAGCTTCTACCTGGAATTCTTCAGCAAAAGTAATATTAAAGAAAAATTTACAAATTAAGAATATTTATTGAAAACCAATCAGCTATGCATTACATTTTTCCCAAAAGAAGAAATAGCTTTGCATGACACATGAAAGTGTAAGTCATAACTCTTAGCTCTTTTAAAAAAAAAAAAATTAATTTCTAATATATTACAGAATCACTTGCAAACAAAAGATATTCTGCTACTAGTTAAAATGTAGTTGGAAAAGTAGACAATTTTTAAAAATCCCTTCAAAATACATCTAAGCATTTATAAAATGAAGGTAGATTATTTTTAAATGCATCAATCCTGGCAAAAATCAAATGGCTACTACACTATTACAAATTGGAAGGTGGTAAATCAAAAACACTTAGTCTCTCCAATTCAGCTACTTAATGACTAATGGTGAAGAAGTGTATGTGAATAGGATATAAGCTAAATTGGACAATACACAAGATTAGAATGAGTAATAAAGGGCCCGAATTTAAAGTCCACAATATACTTTAAACAAAGATGTTCTCGCTCATTCTTCCCTCATAGATATTTTTCATGTTAGCAAATCACTGTGGAGCAATCCAAACCCCACAAAATTTGCTACTCCTTCACTAACAATAGTGCAGTTAAATCTAACGATTTCACTGAGATATTTGTTTGGCCTCAAAAATTTCTTAAAACAACAATAACAACAAAATGCTCAAAAGCAAGACTCAGTTTTCTCAGTGACTTTTCTTTTTTCTTTTAAAGTCTGGCTTTTCACTACCATGCAATACAAACAACATACTTCTGTAGAATGCTATGTAAAATATTGACCCCTTACTATTTTATTATTCAACATTACACTATCTAAAAAAGAAAAGTAATTAATCCCGTGGTTTAGTTAAGCAATTCAGCTGACACAGTAAATATTTACTCTTAACATCTCACAGGAAGTCTTGACAAGTATTTGTTGCCATTGTGCTGGGGATAGGGGTGGGAGTGGGAAGTGGGGGGTGGGAGGCAACTTTTGATAAACAAATGGTCCCAGCGAACTGAACCCACCTAACTTTAACTATCCTGACCCCCAATTGAGCACCAGTTATTTTTYATGTACAGTAAACACCTTATATAATGAAAGTAAAAAATTGGAACTTTCTAAATTATGTATCTCCACTATCCAAACAAACAAAAACCTTAAAAAAAAAAAAAACTACAAGAACACGTTTTTAAAAGCTGAGGCTTATGTTGTTGTTTTTACCTATATGTAAGCCCAATCGCAAAGAAAGAAAAACTAAGCAAATGTATTTACCTTAGCTTTTTAGAGACTGAGTAATCAACTTCCATGATTTTCCCATGCAATTCCACTTTACCTTTAAAACAAAAATTTAAAGCACTCAGAATCTTCCTGAGATCAAACCCGCGGGGGTCTAGGAGGGGCACGCACACAACTCCACGCTAGGGCTCCGCCTTCAGGCGCCCACCAGGGGTCTCTACGAGGCTCCAGCTGGGCTAAGTTGGTGCCCAGTGTGAAGAAAGGTGGGTGCTCGGGGTCTCGTAATGAGGTGGGAAGGGCGCAAGCCCGGTTCCGACCCCAGGTATAGCTGTGGGTGGCATTACCGGAAAAACAAATTTAATAAAGAGCGGCGCCAATTTGAAAGGATGAGCTCATTTGAAACTCAAGCTGCAGGGCTGGCGCGGCCCCGTTCCTCTCCAGGCCCCCACCTCCCCATTCTGCTAACCCCAAACCCGAAGGCTCCACTGCGCTCCCCCAGTCTCTCTTCCCTCTGGTGGCCCCGAGAAGACGCGCCGACCCCCCCCCCCCCCCGGTCGACTACTGCGAGAGCCCGGTCCCAGCCAGCTTCTGGGTGTCACCTTGGCCTCGCCACCGCCCCGCCCCCACCCCCACGCGCCCTTGGGGAAGGGGCTCCCGCCAGGCCCAGGGTCTGGGGGCGCAGGCTGGGGGACTGGGGGCGAGCGCGGCTCCGAGTGGTGCGAGTGAGGGAGGGAGAGTTGGGGAGTGCGCGCGCGCGAGTGTGTGTGTGTCGCTCTCCGACTCCCGTCTGGGCTCCAGCGCGCTCGCGGGCCCCCCGGTCGCCTCTTTCCCGGTTCTCAGCCCCGGCCCCCACCGAGTTGAGACAGGGCACCTCGTAAAAAGGTGCTTCTGGCCAAGCGGGAGGCAGGGGGACGGACGGCGGAAAGCCCCCAGCCCCGAGTTCTTCTCAATAAAATCGGACAAAAAATTCAGGGAAAAATAGGAGCGCTTGAGATCAGCAAGAGGGGACTGAGCTTCGGCAAAGGACTGAGGGAGATGTGCCGTCGTTCAGGGGCTGAGGTTTGGGGAGCCCCTGGGCATCGAAGGGGTTCAGCAGGATGGAGCCGAGGGGTGCAGAAAGTGGGGGGCCTTGGGGCAAGGTGGGGAGGGGGGGGGGGTGAAAAGAGAGTGCGGCTCAGGAGAACGCCAGAGGGCGAGAGGTCCTGGGCACGAGGCATGGGAAGGAGGAAGGTCCGGCCAGGAGAGAAGATGCTGGATTTTGGGGGAGTCCCCTGATAAAGGGGGTAACGGAAAGATCAGGGAAGAGGGGGTACAGAGGACTCTGGAAGGGTGGGGGTGGGAGCTCTGGAGAGCAGTTCGGAGCACCAGAGGAACATAGGGTGCCCCCAGAGAGCCTCAGGGACCCTTGGAGGGACACCGGGAGCGCCCCTGGGCTGCGGCCCGGAGGGCTAGGGGTGAGCCTGGGGCTGTTGGGGGAGGGGAGCGGGCCGTCCCGGGAGCAGGCGGGCGGCAAGAGTTAAGGGTCTGGTGCGTGGAAGTGAGCTTGCGGGCGCGGGATCCCCCGCCGGGCGCCGCCCGCCGGACTCGGCCTCCCAGCGGGAGCCGTCCCGACCCGAGCGGGGCGAGGCGGGGGGAGGGGGCAGCGCTGAGTGCTCACCCGAGAGGGTCTCGATGGCGCGGATGGCCCAGTTCTGGTCGGGGTAGTCCACGAAGGCGTAGCCTGACTTGAGCAGGACCTGTCCCGCCAGGGGCAGCTTCCTGTCCCCAAAGAGCTGCCGGAGGTCGTCGGCAGTGACSGCGGGGCTCAGGTTCCCGATGTAAAGCTTGTTCATCATCCGTCCCTTCCCCGAGAGCCCGCGGCTCCCCCGGCCCGGTACCCGGCGCTCCTCGCCTCCTCCGCTGCCCTCGTCTCTCCTCCTCCTCCTCCGCCCCCCCTCCCCGCCCTCCGCCCGCCCGCCACCCACCCCCACCCTCACCCTCAGCCTGGCTCCCCCCACCGCGGCCGGCCCGGCCCGCCCGGGGGCAGAGGCGGAGGCGGGGACTCGGCGCGGCTGCCTCCTCGGGGCAGAGTCCCGGGCCGGGCGGCGGCGCGCGGACAAAGCGCTCTCTCTGCCTCCCTCTCTCTCCCTCTCAAGGCGGTGGCGGGAGGAGGAGCAGCGGCGGGCGGCGGCAGCGCACCCCGCGTGTGTCTGTGTGAGAGTTTGTACGGGCGTGTGCGCAGCCGAGAGTGAGCGAGCGAGCGCCCCCTCCCAGCCCCGCGCCGCTGCGCCCCTCACCTCACGCCCCCAGCGCTCTGAGCGCTCGGCGGGGCTACCCCGGCTCCAGCTCCGCGCCCGGCGGGCGGAAGCAGGTCGCGGCCCCGGGCTAGGGCTTGGTGCGCCAGAACCCCGGGCGGCCACGGCGCACAGGCCGGGCGAGCGACGGAGCGGGGCTGGCGCGCCCCGAGCGCGGGTGGGAGCGCGTGAGGGGCGCGGGGGAGCGGCTCGGAGCCGCTGGCGTGGGAGGGAGAGGGGCTGCGTGTGAGTATGGAGAGGGGTGTGCGCAAGGTGGACCGGATGTTAGTGCGCGGCTGCCACGGCAAGCGGGAAGGTGTGTCTCGGAGGTGAGAGGCGAGGCCAGGCTGGAAGACAACTTTCGCAGCGAGTTGGCCGAGACTGGCTTCCTGCGCTTTCTCTGCGGTGCGCTCGCTCGGGGACCAGCACTCCGGTTCGGCTCTGGGAGGCAACCAGGCGGCGCGTGTGGTCAAAGAATCGTGGACGCGAGTCCGGACACCTAGGGCCCGGGACCCGGCGGGCCCTCACGGTCTGCACCCGGGGAAGTTGCTCCCGGCCTCGGGCCTCAGTTTCCCGATTCGTGAAGTGAGGCGGAAGGCCAAAGTTACGGGAGTCTTGTCCTCTCCGCCGGGACTCTGCGCGCTCGGAACCCCGCGGCGGACGGCAGCCTGAAGTTGGCAGCTGCTCTCTATTCTGGGAAGAACTGAGGGCTTTCCCCGTAGTCCCTACTCAACCAGGTGGCGGGTGGGGCAGCGAGCCGGGAGGGAGAAGAGCCTGCGGCGGATCCTGAGAGGTTGGGTCCGCGGCCTCGGGTGACGGATGCTCGCTTCAAGGCTGCGTGGCCGCGTTCAGTCCCAGAACCGGGGTGGAGGGAGGCGAGGGTGGCTGGAAGCCGAGGCGCGCGGTCTGTGTAGGAGTTCTCTGATCATTGGAGAGGGCCGGGAAAGAAAGAGGTCCTTCCAAGCAGAGGAAACAGCGTTACCGACGGAAGAGGCAGGGTTGAGATGAGAACAGTCCGAGCTGAGGGACTCTGGAAGGAGCCAGACTGACTGAAGACGAGCAGCAAGTTCAGGGGCCTGGCGGGAAGCCTGATGGTTAGAGCCTGGTCGCAGCCAAGAAATTCTATAGGAAAGAGAGAAATGACAGGATTCAGAGGCAAAGTGGCAGAAGATTCCAGGCACTGAACTTCAGGGAACCGTAAGAGAGTTGATGATTTGATCAGGAATGGCTTTGGGGTGCTTTTGGTTGTAAAAGCCACAAATGTAGGGATGGAACAGGTTTGGGGTATCCTAGCTGGATCGTAAAGTATTCTTTCCTTAGTTTTCCTGTTTATGAGGCCGGTGGAGAGAATGTGGTTTGCTGGATTTTATATCTTCAGAAAGGTGATTCTTGTTGGGGAAATCAAACATTGTTATGGTGAAAGGTCTGTCTGCTGGAGACAGACCTTCCTCCTCCCTATCCCAGCTGCATAGCTTAGGAGGTCCCAGCATCCCTGAGCCCAAGTTTCATCTATAAAAAGGCTAAATGAAGGATAACTTAAGTAATGTGATGAGACACAGTCCACCCACAGTGAATGCTTTTTCGTTTCTTTGCCCCAGGAACTTATTGTGAGTTTTAAAATGCTTTCTTTGGGGGAAAGAAATCTTAAATAATTAATTGTCTAGAGAAAATCATGAATCCATTCTCACCTCGATATTTGCAGTTGTTTTAAATTCTGGCTTTGTCTCAAATATTCACTTATTTCCTCATCTCTAGAAAAGGAGCTGAATTTTACTGCTCCTTTGACATTATTCCTCAAACTAATAGATAAACTAGGTATGATGCTTCCTTACTAAAATATGGAGGAGAGTCACAGATGAAAACAACTTGTGTGTGCATAAACCACAGCAGAGTGGGAGTCAACTATCTTCAGATTATTTACACAAATTGGTATGGTCACCTTTGCATGACAGAACAGCATGTTTGTTTTATTTACAGTAATTCAAAGCTACATTTTTATAAAAGAGAAACAAAAGAGTGTCAGGGCTAGTTGGTCTCATTCCTTTCTGAAAGGTTAGTAAAACTTCTGTAGTATATTTTCAGTCACGTCAAATATTTGGTCCTACTGCAAAACTACGAATGTTTTAACATAAGTACTCTAGTGGGCAGCAGTTATCATCTAAATATTCTTAGCAGAGAGAGCTTCTGTGGACTCTTCTCACCCTATCACCGGAACTATCAAATATTTTTCTGAGAAATGACTGCTTTTTGTTGTACTTGGTGTTTTCTGTCCTGCTAGCATTTTGTAAACAGTGGTGGTACAGAAAAAGAGTTTGAACAGTAACTATGATGGTCGTTTTTTTCTCCACACCTCTGATTTGCAGCATCTGTAGTTTCTTATCTTGGGGTGTGAAATTGCTTTTTCATGTGATAGAAAAGAAATGGGGGGAATCTTTGAAGATAGGAAGCACAATCTGCAAACAGAACCAGAAATCCAAAGGTTATTGCTTCCGTGTGACAAACTTATTTTCTGTTTCCTCATGAGTTCCTTTTGAGTTTTCTTATGATTTCCTACCTTGTTCCTCCCCCAGAGAGCTGAAATGGAGGTCACTTGAAACTCTTGGATGATCTTATCAGATTTTCATGATTTTTTTTGAGACAAGGTCTTGCTATGTTGCCCAACCCTTATCTCAGACTCCTGAATTCAAGGGATTATCCACTTCAGCCTTCCTTGTACATGGGATTACAGGCATGTGCCACTGTGCCCAGTTTGAATGCTTAACTGGTCAAAAAGATTTGGAGAAATTCTTTTATAGTTGTGAAATGTAGTGGGGTTTTTTTKGGGGGGGGCAGGTTAGGCTACTTGGTTTTTGATTTCTTGGTAGAGTGTTTTTTGTTTGTTTTGTTTTTTGTTTTTGTGGGGGAGACTTGTTTTGTTTTTGTGGTACTGGAGATCAAACTCAGAGCCTTGTGCATACTAGGCAAGCACTGTATATCAGAGCTATCTTTCCAGCCCTGGAGAAATTCTTATAGTAATCAACATTACTTTTTTAAAATATGTGTTAACTTTTGCTCAAAAGTTTCAAAGGCAGTAAAGAACATCATGTTTCTCAGAGATTGTTTTAGGCAGGTAAAGTAGGTAGAACAAGAAGATTTCTTTCCTTTCTCTTCCTTCCCTCCCTCTTTCTTTCTACCTGTCTCTCTTTCTTCCTTTTTTCTGGGTATTGATCCCAAGGGCACTCTACCACTGAGCTACATCCCCAGCTGTTTTTATTTTGAGACAGGGTCTTGGTAAGTTGCCCAGGTACTCCTCAAACTTGCAAATTTTGGAGGGAAGCTTTTGGGATATAAGTGCCAAACACAACATTAAATAAGAAGACATGGGATTTGGGAAATGAAGAATCTAATGCAGGAGACTATACATAGAAAATCCAGAATGCCAGCAGTGTAGCCATCCAGAAAGCAACCAGCACAGATTAGAACAAGAGGATAGATGGCTCAGTGAAAACTTCAAGGGACAAAACCACAGAAGTGAAAAATTGTGCTCCATTTGTGTACAATGAGTCAAAGGGCATTCTGCTGTCTTGTATAACCGATTAGAACAAATAAAAAAAAAAAGAAGAAGAAGTGCCAGGCTTGGTGGCCCAGGCCTATAATTTCAGTGATTTGAGATGCAGAGGCAGAAAGATTGCAAGTTTGAGGCCAGCCTGGGCAATTTAGCAAGACCCTGTCTCAGAAAGGGATGGAGATGTAGCTCAATGATAGAATGCCCCTGGGTACAATCCCCTTACCACCCCCGCCCCCCACACACGGCAAACTCATTTATATGAATATGTTATAATTAATTTCTGATAGGATGATAGGCATAGACTATTTAGGGGAAATCACAGGTAAGTGGAAAACCAGGCAAATGGAAACAAGGAAGTCATTAACTCTAGGAAAAACACATGGTTATACAAGAAAGGAGCAATGGTCACAGGCAAAACAGTGAAAATATTTGTACAGTCATAATATAAATATTGCAGTATTATCCAAACTACATAAAGAACTTGCAAGTCAACCAGAAAAAGATTATTATTAGAAAAATGAGCAAAGATAGCATTCTTTAGAGATACGTGCATCCCCAAGTTTATTATAGCACAATTGACCATAACCAAATTATGGAATCAACCTAGGCGTCTGTTCACTCCCACACACACACAAACACACAGGAGTTTTATTCAGCCATAAAGAAGAACAAAATTATGCTGTTTTCAGGAAAATGGATGGAACTGAAGAGCAACATGATAAGCAAAATAAGCCAAACTCAGAAAAACAAGTGTTAGGTTTTCTCTCCCATGTGGAATCTAGAAACAAAAAGTAGTGTCATGAAAGTAGAAGGGGGAACACTGCGATAGGGCAAGGGAATAAATAGGAGAGAGGAGGAGAGGATTAGGGGAAGCACTGGGGAGTAAAACTGATGAAATTGTTATATGCTTGTATGAATATGCCACAATGATCCTATAATTCTGTGTAATTAATATGTGTCAATAAAAAAATTAGCAAAGGATAAAAAAAATGGGCCAGGAATATGAATGGGAAACTTCACAGAATACAAGGTGCAAATAATTCACAGGTAATTGAGAAATTAAAACTGTTCACAACCATCAAGTTAAC